CCTAAACCCTCAACCCTAAGCCCTGGGTGCACCAGGCGAACAAGCCGTGGATCTCCCTGCCCAAGGGCAACGGCGTGAAGCTGAGCATCGTGGAGGACTCTCTCGGGCATTTGGGGCTCTTTAGTTTAGGGTTTAGGGTTTAGGGTTTAGGGTTTAGGGTTTAGGGTTTAGGGTTTAGGGTTATGGCTAAGTGTTTTAGGGTTTAGGGTTCTGTTTGGATTCGGGACTATAAGGCTCTGAGAGTTTCGGGAGTGTTGGGGCTCTTTATGGCTAGGCGTGTAGTTCTCTAAATTAGGGTCCCTCTTTGTAGGCTTCCTTAAAGGGATCGATAAGGGTGTCCATAGGGTTTCTCCAAGGGTACTCTCTGGGTAGTTCTCTCTAAATTAGGGTACCTTTTTTTGGGGGGGGGTCCCCAATAGACTACGGCACCCTTACAAAAAGGATCCTAACAGGGACCAGAACTATCCAAGTGTTTAAGGGCTTAGAGTTCCTTATGGTTTAGGGCTCAAGGCTTTGAGAGTTGAGGGTTTACAGCTCTTTGGGCTTTAGGGTTCTTTGGGCCTTTTGGGTTCTTTTGTGTGTTTCAGGATTTGGGATTCTTTGTGGTTTTAGGGTGCAAGTTGAAGGCTTCAACTGTTTTGGCCTCGTTTTATATTGGTTTTGGGCCTTAGTACTCAGTTCGCCTAGGTTTTTTTTGGGCCTTAACCCTAAACCCTACACCCCAAATCCTAAACCCTAAACCATACACCCTACACCCTAAACCCTAAGCCTAGCACTCAAGTAGGACTTGGCGCCCTTATGCTTCTGCGCTTAAAGTGGACATGGCAGACACAGAGCTTGCCATCCTCTGTAAGGTTTAGAGTTAAAGCTTCTCTGGGTGTTGTAACAGGGGGCTTGGTTGATATAGGGGCCTCAATAATTAGAATAGGGCTTGGGGTGTATTGTATTATAATTATAATAAAGAACCCCCAAAAACCTATTCTAAGTTGCTGTGATAGGGGCTACTGTGAGTCTTCCGGGCGGGTCTAGGGTTCATTGATTTCGGATTGCAGGGTGACCCTAAGCCCTAAACCCTAAACTCCTAAACCCTAAGCCCTAAACCCTGAACCCCGAACCCTAAACCCTGAACCCTGAACCCTAAACTCCGAACCCCTAAACCCTGAACCCTAAACCCTGTGGGGTGACGGTGTTTCAGGCTCATAGCTGCAGGGATTAGGGTTGGCTAGGTCCGATGTAGTTCTCTGCGAGGATAGGCTCTCTAGGAGCCTTCGGGATTCTTCATTCTGAGGCCTTGGGGGTTTAGAGGGGTTTAAGGTCGAGGGTTTAGGGTTTAGGGGTTCAGGGGTTTAGGTGGTTTAGGGGTCTAGGGTCTAGGGGTTTAGGGGGTTTCGGGTTGAGGGTTTAGGGTTTAGGTGGTTTAGGGTTTCCGGTTTAAGGTTTAGGGTCTCACCGTGCACCTCCAGGACAGATCGCAGCGNNCATGAGCGACTCGGCCGCCTTAGAACAGCCCACAGCTCTGACCCCAAACCCTACACTCGTAGGGATAAGACTCTGAAAGCTGTACAGGCTAGTGATGCCCCAATAATGTATTATAAGTCTCAATAACTATCATGATAGGGTTCCTTTTTATACCTTCTGTGCCGCTAGTCTCCATTGTAACTCCTTCTCGGGAAGACCTTATAGGATCCAAAGTTTGGGCCACATTCTGTAAGGCA